TGTTCAGGGGTGTACCAAGTGAGCTAGGCCAGTTGGTGTGATGTGTTTCTTCTTACTAGCACGACAATGGCCAGGCCTTTTTTTTTTTTTTTTGGTGTGATGTGTTTCTTCTTACGAGCACGTCGGTGGCCAGGCCTTTTTTTTTTTTTTTTCAATTGCTGATAAGCGCACGGCTCAAGGCCTCGATCTGCCCTACTGGGCCCTATTTTCTGTACAGTCGGCCGCCCTAAGTGAAGGCAGGCTCGACCCAGGGCCTACAGGCCCATTTTTGGGGTCACCAAGCAACTGGGTAATTTCAGGCAGTTGCGCAGCGCCTGTTGGTTGAGAGCGCCTAGACCCAGGCTGCCTTTTTCGAATGTGAACAAGGCAGGCCCTGGGCCAGATTCGCAACATGGACCGAACACAGGCGCGGGCAGTTGAACAACGGCAACCACCACAGGCCCAGTGCCTGATTCGTTTGGACTGGGGTTCAGCCTCTCTGGGCCTACCGGAAGCTTCTGGGCAGGGGCCCAGCGCAGCCAGGCTGCACGCAAGCAAGCAGGCCACTTCCATTTAGGAAAGGGCCTGCCCACGCATTCGGCATTCGGGCACTGGCTGCATGCTGCGCAAGTGCTGCTGCGCTATACGCTGGCCAGCGCTCACGCGCTCACGGGCGAGCTGGAAGGAGCAGGCAGCCATAGCCGAGCTGCGCTGCTGTATGCTGGATGGGGCGCACGGTGGTTCTTGGGTGCATGTGGCATCTGTGAGTTGGGGATCGAGGTTATGAGTGATGCGAGAGACATACCTGGTGCTTGAGGCGAACGGCATTGGCCGAGATCTGTTCGTACTTCGGGGAGCTGTTGACGTCATCAGCGCCAGTGTAGCTAGGCTAGATAGGATCTGCCATTTGTAGTCTGGGCGCCAAGCCCCAGGTAGGATGTCAACATTGGTTCTTTCTTGATGATGATGAGACTATCCAAATATTGTCACTTATGAGCTTTTGCTGTGCTCTTACTTGGTGGGACTCGTTATGCAATTCTGCTTTTGGTTCGAGGTCATGATTATCTGGTCTCATGTGTATGATGCTGCTTGGTTTCTGAAGTTCACTATCGCTCATTTTCCTTGCAATTTGGTATCGGAGCTGTGATACGGTGCGCTCATTTGTCGCTCGTCTTCTGCCTATGCGGTACATGCATGCGGTATGCTGGGCGAGCTACCGTAGGGAGTGTGTAGTGAGGAGGGCGAAGGCAAGTAGGCAACCCAGGTGGAGAGGGGATCGCCAGGAAGGCGACATGGTGAATATTGGGTGTTCGCAGTGTGATGAGAACTAACTGATGTGTGATTGACGATGAGGTGGAACGGCGGTGTAATGCTGGTTGTTTCAAAGCAGCGATTGGTCATCACAATTGACATCGGGTCATCTGGTGAGAGTATCTGTGGTTGGGGGCAGCTATTTCGAGGTACGTTGCACCTAACCTTATCTACCCTCTACGACACCTCTTACCGTGAGGATGTGTGTTCTGTCTTGAGAGTCCTCTCATGTGAGG